AAAAAGAGAGAGAGAGAGAGAGAGGGAGGAAGCGAGATACAGAAATCCTCCGGCGAAGCTGGCGTCATTAGAATGTATTGTGGCGTAACAACAGTTTGACACGCTTCCTTCCACCGCTATTCGGCGGCTAGCCGCCAGCCCAGGTGGATTTCTTCCCGGTTCTTCCGCCCTCTGCTCTTTCCGCTGGCGGTACAGCTGCCGAATCCGAGCGTGAAAATGCATCGTTGTGTGAATTTGCACGGCGCGACTCTGACGAGTAGTGCGGTGAAATCATGTCGATAACAAGGCTCGATCTTCGCCAGCCTGAATTTTCACAGATTTTTCCTTGTTTTTTGACGTGAAACGTTAATTAATACGATCATTAGCGAATCATTCTTTGCCATTTTGATAATTACGGGGACGAGGTGAATCGCTGGAGCTGAACAAAGACCTCCCGCCTTGCCCGAAGGAATTAAGCGCATCGACGGAGATGGACAGCATCGAGAAGAGAATGAAAAAAAGGAATAAAAAAAAACGAGATCAAGAGCTCGCCTTTGTCGACGTCGCGAGAACGAGGGCGAGCCTCGCGAACTGGACGGGACGTGCTCTCGGTCGCGGGATCTCGATCGCAAGGATGTCGACTGCGAGTACGACGAGCGTATCGCACGACGTCGCGCGACGCGACGCGAAAAAAACAGCGCGGGGGGAAAAATGTGATCGGGATGAGAATGGACGAGATGAATGGGAGGGGGGAGGGGGGGGGACGGGAAGGTCGGAGCGGGAATTTCGCCGGACAAAACGCCGTCCTTCGGAAAGCGACGTTCGTCTTCGGCGGGATGGCGAAGAATAGCGCGAGAATGGAAGCACAGCTCGCTTGGAGGTCGGCCAGACGTTGTGTGTCGGAAACGAGACGTGTTGCGAATGTTTCGAAACATTCAGCGGTGGATGTACGGTTTAATGGAGGGCGTGCTGCTTTTACGAGGAGAACCCGCGCCACTCGTCGCTCGCCTTTTACCAAAGAGGAATTGGGGCTCGGAGAGGAACCTCCCCCGTGAAGAAATGTTGCAGCTCGCACTGCAGCGACGGAAGAGAGCCCGAGCGTAAAGGGAATTTGGCGAGTTCTTAGTTCGCGTGTGTATTGAGTCACCGCATTATGTTACCAGCGTCGTTCCTGTTTTGACGGTGAGAACTCTGCCCGTTCATTCGTTGGTTCATCCGTACGTCCATTCGTTCGTTCGTGCGTTTCATCACGTTGTCCCGAAAACGCGTCTCCATTTGAAAGCAAACATGGATGAGCGAAAATGGTCGAAAGTGGTTTAATTAAGTCGTCGTTTCGCCGCTGCTGTATTTACCCGCTAACTAAAGTCAATGCTTGACTTTTCCTCGTAAGTCGATCTGCAGAATTAATTGACAGCTTGGAATATTTAAGCAAGCGCTAAAGCTGCGATCTAGACGGGAATAGTCAATTAACCGGGCGAAAGCGCTGAGACGCCGCATTTTAACTGTTATCGTCTCGTCTCGTCTGGCCTTGGTCTTTGTCGTTAGAATCTCATTTTAAGCCGCCCACTTTCTCACTCTCCGGATAGGCCTACGATCTTTCGACGTATTTTCGGACGGTACGCGACTATGAGACGAAGATAAGCTGAACAACTTGAGACGCTAAAACGTATTAAGCGACGCGGCTGCGAAGCTCAAGGAAATCCCGACCCGACGATCCATTTTTAATTGCGTGTACACATACATACAACCGCGTGCTCGCTGCTCCACCCCCGTTTGTTCGTTTGATTCAACAAGCGGCGTCGACTGTATCTGAATATTTTTCTCCTCCATCAATCAGATACTCTCTTCATCGAACAACAGATACTCTCTTCATCGAACAACAGATTAAATAGCCTGCGTGCTTTCGATAATCGCAAGAGACGCGGAAAGGTGAATTATTAGTTTAATCGAAATCAAATTTTAATTAATTATCAGCAACGGAGACGAACGTATCTCTCAGCTTGTTGGTAGAGGCATCGTTGTAAATCAAATTATATTGGTTATCCGAGCATTGCAACAAGAAACTCATTTATCTTCAGGTGCGATATCGCTCTAGGAAGAGACGCGGCTACGTCTTTAATCCGGATAATTCAAGGAGATCAGCGGATTTCGAAAAGCGACGTAATCTCGTCGATCTACCCAGTGATTGCATCACGTGCGGAGAGCGGAGGGGACAAAAGTTTCCTTCGCTTTTTCTTTCTCCGCTTTCGGCTTCCCGGAGGAACTCTCTCCCCATTCACCCCTTTATTCCCCCGATTACGTGTACGTAGGTGGAAACTCCATTCGCGCGAATGAGCAAAAGGACCGCATAACGGCCGAAGAATTTAAAGTAAACCTCGCGCGAACCGTGCGTCCTCCATTCTGCCGGCGTGACTTCGCGGAGCGTGCGGAGTCCGCATTTACCTGCGACAAGAAGTTCGATGAGTAATCAGGATCGGCCAACGCTCGGCTTCGTCGCTACTCAGCTCCTCGGTCTTAATAAGCCTTCCGAGATTTAACGACTTAATGGAATTATTATAATCGCTCTCGCCGCACGAGAAACAGGAGGGGAGGAGAGGAGTAGGAGCGAATTAAACTACTTTATTGGCCCAACTTTCGACCCCCCTTCGAGATCGAGGGCTACCGAAAACGTCTCGGAATCCGTTCGTGCGAATTGGATTAAATCCGGCGGGTGTGTTCGACCGGAAAGAGTGAAAAAAGGAAGCAAGAAAAAAAAAGTAGACAAAGGGAGAATTTCACTTCAGCGAGCGAGTTGCGTTCGTCTTGTCGCACGATTTACGACGCTTACCGCGAACCGCGCTCGCCTGGTTTCCCGGTGATTCCCGATTCCCGTCCAAAATGTCGAGACACGTTCGTCTCGGAGGAATCGGAAGGTCAACGCGAGAGAATTAAATCCAGGACTCCATAAAATATCAAGTGTCGAGCGTCCTGCGCGCGGGTGAATAGGACCTGACGGTGCCTACGCGAATGGCGGCCGTCTATAAAGTAAGCCGAACAAGTACCAGCGCACTTGCAAGAGGAATGTACACTGATCGAATGCTTTCCTGACAGTTCCTGTTTTCCGTCACCCCCCCCCCCCCCNTTGCGTTTCCCCGTTTCCAGGAAGATCCGTTCACTGCGTACATTTTTACGAGTTTACCTATCGCGAGCGAGCGCGCGCATGAACGCGCGCAAACTTTCCCCCCGTGGATTTATTTTCCTCATTTGAGAACTTTCCGAAACTCTCGATAAATTTCGCCCGCGGCTGGTGTAAGTACCTATTTTTTCCCCTTCCGAGCGAAAAACTCATACTTCTTCCGGGAATACATCCAGATTAAATTACGGCGGATCTTTCGCTGAGAGAGTCGTGACAAATCTCGACGCACTTAGCGCGAAACGCGAGCGATCTTGACGGGCAATTGGTGCGCTACGTGGCCGGAATGAGAATTTTATTTTCTTCTTCTTTTTTCTTTCTCTCACGCTGTCAGCCCGGCAAGCCGGGAGTTGCATTAAATGGAGGAGCGTTCGGTACTGATCCCGGTTCATCCGTAGTTTGACGCGAAGCGAAAGATACCTACGTGCCGTACAACGGGCACATACATTATTCATACAAGAAAGCCGTCACTGTGACAACAAGTAGGAAAATGCAAAGCTTTGTGATCCTTTCATCCCCCGGCGTTTCGCACCTACGAAGTCGAAGCATATGATCCCTCATCGATGGCCCCTGTATCCTCGCATCTTCGCCGGTGCTTGTCGAAAAATCCGACGAAATGAACTCGAGATCCGCCGATTATCTCACTATCTCGAGAATATTTCACGCGCGGCTTCCCCGGGGCCGAGGCGGGGCTCGCGAAAGGTCCCGGCCCTTCCGAGGTATTAAATTGTTTCCGCTCTCTTCGGTACGCGACATTCGAGCGCAAACCGCGCTGATGCGAATTTCAAACTTTCCACGTTTCGTTCTCGTAGAGTCTGTTTTTTTTTTTCACCTCGATAACAAGGAATGCGATGCAAAATGTTCCGAGGGTCCACGCGCAATTTCGCTCGCGAACAGCGCAAATATGTATGCAATTTCTTTTTGAGCCATTCATCGAGCCGTTGATCCGCGTCCACGTATTTAATCGCCGTTCCCGCGTCGTATCGCGCTCCTTCGCGCGCGCAGGGTTACCCGATAAAGATTTCCTTTATTCCCCGCGCCTCGTGTCCTCTCGCACGTGCCACTTTAAATAACGGTGTTATTACACATACGTATTCACGCGGGTATCGCGGGTCGATGTCTCAACGGGTTCTATGCATTTTTCACACTCGTGATAAACGTGTCGGAAATGTCGAGAAGGGGCGCGAATGACGTGACATCTGATTAGAATTTATCTTATCACCGAAAAATCGGAGATTACACGTCGCGAAGAGCATCGGAATTTCGAGCCGTTCCCCGTTGTTCCACGATTCTCGCGGGTACAATTTCGCTCCCATCGGAAGCTACGCACGTCGATTTATTTATTCGAGCGTCCCCCGTCGTTGAACCTCAAGACAAACAAGTGAGAGTACTCTATGCGGTATAAGAGCTTATTAATAAGTAAAATATGGATAGAACGTTCAGGTATGCATAGTGCATGTCACGATCATCGCGAACTTTTGCATTCCTCGAGCAATGTCACGTCCTAAATGAGAAACCGTCGGAGCGCAATTTGCAAACCGGCTCCCGCCGGTCCCTTCGAAAGAAACCGCCCGCCTCCATCTTCTCTTTCAAGGAGCAAGTTGGAGCAAATCCTCTCCACTTTCACGGTGTAAGGAAGAAAGTTGAGTGAAAGCGATCCCGGTAATCCGTTCGAAAATTGCCCCGCGACAAATACGCCGCGTCCGATATTTAACGCGTTTCAGCTAACGTAAGACCGCGGTTAAAATTTACTTGACAATCGCGCGAATCCATCCGAAAAAGACGGCAACATCGCCGGTTACGCGCTCGGAAGAAACAAATCCGTGGAGACCGCGCCTGTTTCACTTACCCGGAAGGCGTCCCGCAATTCCTGCTCCTCCTGATGCTGATCCGTAGGTGCCGCCGTGCTCGCGCCGATGTTGCTGACGATCTCGACGAATTCCTCGAAGCTGACATTTCCGTCGCCTGAGGAAAAATCACAAAGTATGATAAGGCTGAGCGCGAGAATCGTGAGCGAATATGACAAGGCGTGAAGTATGATTACGCGTTTGCGAATCTCAATCTGTTCCGCATAATCGATACTTCTCGCATATGCTCCTCAACCGATTTGTCACACACTCGCTATTTTGTTCGTTTACTATCAAGAATAACTAGTATTTGATATTTCTTAGGATTCTCTATCACGATATTTCTTAGAATTCTCTATCACGCAGTTGTTCAGCTACTTCGTGGTAATTGATTTTCCGTAAAATCGCGGTCGCGTATAACGGTACGATGAATTGCACAATCCCTTTAATTAAACGCACGATTTAATTGTACATGCAAAATAGGCACGCTCAAAAAGCTTAGGGAGAGCCCTGATTGTATAGAAAGAGAAAACTTTCTTCGTCATTTAAATGCAGAGCGAGCTCCCGAGAGGGCCGCGAACCCCGCCTGATTAAAGAAATTAAATCATTTTGAATCTAGACCCAGATTGTCTTATGTTCAATACGTTTTTCGTTTATTAATATCAATATACGTTCAACATAACGTTCGTAAACTAGTCGTTCTCGAAATATAGCTATTTACTTTATAAGCTACGTTCCGATTATTCCTACCATCTACAGTAATAAACATCGTTTTCGCTACGACGGAAGATATATACAGTTCCTGGCCATATCATTAGATCACTTTGATTTCTTAATAGAATACAGGTTAGGAGGAGAAGAAAAGCTACTAATTTTATGTTTACTCGATTAGAATAATTTTCGGTGTCAGTCAGCGCTTTTACCTCCGCAACCTTCTGAGGTATCGAATCACTTGTTTTACCCGATAATTTTTGTAAGCAATATTAATGAAATGAAATGAAATGTGAGCCAAGTGAAATGACGTCATAAAAAATACCTTTTATAGAGTAATGGTTCCTTAACATAATTCGAAGTCAATGAATCGTGAAAAATTAAGATGCCTCTGATAATATGGACCAGAGATTGTATACGAAGAAGATAACTCAAGCGGTTATTGGGATTTTCTTGGGAGTGAAATTTATCACGACGCGTTCGGCTTGCTTTTCGATCCTTTGACGAAAAACCTGTAGCGCAAATATATGCAGGATCGCGAACCGAGAAGATTGATCTTCGTTTCATGTCTCTACATGTATCCGTTCAAGAGTTAGGTCCTGTTCACGTTTTGGCACGATCGCGTTCGATGCTGATGAACGCCCCCATTAGATGGCATTGGCTGATACACTCATTCATGGTGCGAAATGGCAGATACACCCTTCTACATAGAGTGGGGTGAATAACCTCCTAGCAGGAGCTTGCAAGGCCAGATCGCGTACGCGGAAGTGGGGGCAAGGCCGCGTTCCAGCCGTATCGCGTTACAGTAACATTGTTCGTGCAGGAATGCGGACCTGCCACTACCTACATGTCGCGTGACAGGTGTCGGCGCGACTCCATTTCGGTGGTACCGAACGGATCGAGACTGTGATTCGATATGCTTATCGATATCTCCGCTTCAAGCGATCGTAGAAATGTCAAATAAGAACCGTTGTAAAATTTGGGGTGGTATTCATAGGCTGCGGTCCGATTCACGCTTACAGCGCTCTAAACGTCATTCTATCTTCATTGTTAATTCCATGCCAAAAAAAGGTAGAACGGTGCTTATAGTGCTATAAGCACATGAATTGGACTGCAGCTATAGATTTTATATTTAAGATCGGTTTTGATTGATTTTCAGATATTTCCATAGCCAATAAAATAAACCGTACAACATCTAAAGTCAATTATAAAAATATATAATAAAAATGGCGATACCTATTTAAATATAACAAGATAATTTTTAAATAATTTTAACAAATGTTATTATGAAATTTAAAATGGCTATTTGATACATCACTTAATGTTATACAATTATTGTCTGAAACGTTTATCATGAAATGCATATTTTCCAAAATATAAAAAAATTATAACAATTTTCTCATATCCTATAAATAATTTATCCTATTTACATAATATATATTCCATATATTCCATGTAATTCATATTTTATATAATTATATATAATATTTTATAATATTCTATTATGTATATAATAGAATGTATAATAGATGTATTATATAATATTATTTATATAATTACATATAATTTTACATATAGATATACTTTATATACTTTTTTTTCCGATGTTAAATGTGGACTGTCGAGACGCACGATACGAGCAAACCATATCGATGCAGACGCGAGAGATCTCACCGTATTCCCGTAAAGTAGTTCCGCGACGTAAATGCTTTCCATCCTTTTAAGCGACCATGCGCAACCCTTTTATCCCGCTATACGCCATAATAAGAGGGAAGTACACGGCAATACGAGCACAAAGGCGTAAGAAGGAAGGGTGAGAGAGCAGCCACGAACGAGAGTGAGGGAATGAACGAACTTTACACCTCGCGATCCGAAGAAATGTCCCCGGGTGGAAATTTCTTATGCGAGAAACCGCGGCTTCTTCCTCGTCGCTTTTAAAAGAGTTTTTAGTTGCTCGATGAGCAATGGACGGCGGCGAGCGGATTTTCAGTAGCCGCGCGCTGTTTCACGCTGAACGCTTAATTACGGCACCGTCCGCACCGCGCTCGCCATTAATTCGCGAGTTTACCACAAAGCGGCCCATCGTAACTCTTTCATTTACGACGTCAGTTTATAATGAATATTAAAGCTCTTGCTCTTTGCCTCTTATAATCTTGCGTGTTTAAAAATAATTTAGAATGCGGTTTGACTTCAAACAACGTTGAAGCAACAGTTTGCACATTTTCGTCCCGGCCAGTGTCACGGGTGTAGCGAAATGAAAGATAAAAAAGAAAGAAACACCGGGCCGCGGAAATAAACACGAGGCAAATTTGCAAATATACACGCGAATAATCGAGCGGATAGTATGGATTGCGGTGGTCGGGGAAAATCGAATTGATGAATCGAGCACGACGTTATCGTGGATATCCACGGAAAATAAATTCGAATCGTGCAGCCGGTCGAGAATCGTATCAAGGGCCCCCGTTCGAACGATTCGCGGGCGCTGCTTCTCTAATTTGCATAATTTGACCGCCGGTTAAATAAACGCGCGAAATGCTGTCGGCGCGTGCAGTTTACAATCCATTCTGCTGAGGTCTGTTATATAACGCTGCTAATTCCTGCGCAGCTACTGATAGATTCGTGTAAGGCCCGTCACGTGACCGTGTGCGTCGTGGTGATGAAGGCATGTATTGAGCGGTAATTACAGGTTCCCTTTGTGTACCGACTGATCTGAAGAGAAGGGCAGCTTTAAATTCAGCAATGGAGACAAAACCGATACTGCGACTGAGATAAAAAAATAACCGTCTATGTGATACATATCAATATATACATGTTGATCTTTAAATAGACATTTTAAATTTTATTTTATATCGATACAATTTTTGCGATACATTGATGCTTATTGGTGTTAAAAAAGCACACCTGTAGTTTCAATATCTTTCATGGTTAAAATTAATGGCCGTGACATTGGACAAATGGCATATCCGTTGAATAAAATTCTCATACGAGTCGACATATGAAGTGGAGTTATTCCATTATACAGAGTATTATGTACAGAGTATTATGTACAGTTATATGTACAGAGATAAAAAATACGGTCATAATTATCCTACTTGTGAAACAGAAACGAGCTGCCAATAGTAGAACAAATTTCGCCGGGCCCGGAATCGTTCTCTCTCTCTCTCTCTCTCTCTCTTTGCCTGTATATCCCATCGCTTTTGCAAAATCATAAAACCGATATGTCCAATTTGCGCTTTTAATTTGATTACGTGAATATCTCGTTTCGTCAAGATAAATATCGAATTTAGGGATGTATGATGTGAGGTAAATAAAGTTTGCGAACTCTGAATTAAACATTCACGATGTTGCTAGTGCTTCAACGTCTATATCGAAATACTCGTATACAGCGAACGATTTCGCAACTTTATCCCACTTTGTATTTCTCCGCTTTGTAGTCCTGCAAAATTACTGTTCCTGGTGCAATTCTATTCCTCGCTACAGCCGATAAGTTCTTATCAGCCTTCGCGAACATGTACAATAACGTTTGATTCAAAGGAAACACAAGATGGAAATATAAGAAACAAGGGGAGCTAAACTTCCATTCTCCGAAGTCATAAGATCGAAGCGCGAACCTCCCGGTATTAGACAGTGGCGTTCGCGCCTCGTTCTCACCGTCAGGCGAATCTAGAAGTCTATAGGGAGAGCTTCATAAAAAAAAGCACAATTACTTTCTATAAACAAGGAACCTCTCTCTCCCTCCCTCTGCCATCTATTTATTGTGCATTTCTGCACTTTATTCGGTCAAGGATATAAATGCTGTGGATGGTACGTGTGGATTTTTGCGCGAAATCTTGTTATTTCTTGATGTATATTCCCGGGACAGCTTGATCGCAATTCACTTAGCTGCTCTTATTTCCTCGAAATATAGAATCGGAATGGATGTTACGGAAAGAAATGTATACACACGAGCGAATCAGGCGGCCTATCGGCGCTCCCGCGATAAAATCGCGAGCGATCGTCCGTCTCAGCGCGTCTCGCGCACACAAAGGCGAGCGGAGGCGCGTGCGACGTTCCTTTAAAAATCGACGTCCTCATTTGCAGCGTCGCGTCGCGCCGAGATTTCCCCCCGGCTGCAGTTACCGGCGTCGGCCTAAGCGGATTTCAGTCGGGGATAAGCACCGGTGTAAACGGGATTTAGCCGGCGATAATGCCGGGGCCGCGGGAGAGAACCGCTTTGGGATTCGCGAACATGTATATGTACATGCCGACTTTGCGACCCTCTGTCCTCCCTCGTTCCACCGTCCTACCCTTGCTCGCACGTGCATGCCGCGCGGCACGCATGCACCGAACACGCGCACGTCTCTCCGCGGCGACGTTTCGCGAGCGCTTACACGAATACGTGGACGCGCGTAAACACGCGCGTAAAAT